TTGACTTTCTTTGTCTCATTTGAATGCTTTCTCATACCTCACTTTAATTTTTCTATTGTGGTTTTGAATATATCTTTGTATAACATTTTTATGGCCATTCTATGGATTACAAACTACCTACTTAATTTTTCACAGTCCATTTAAATTTTTTTCAATTCTTACTTTATTTTTGAGAAAGAGAGAGACCAAGACAGAGCACGAGCGGGGGAGGGGCAGAGAGAGACCGAGACACAGAATCTGAAGCAGGCTCCAAGCTCTGAGCTGTCAGCATGGAGCCCAACATGGGCCTCGAACCCACAAATCATAAGATCATGTCCTGAGCCAAAGCCAGACACTTAACAGACTGAGGCACCCAGGCACCCCTTCACAGTCCACTTAAAATCAGTACTTTACCACTTCCATTAATATATAGAAACCTCACCTTAATAGGGTCCCTTATCCTCCTCCCCCCCTTTCTGGTATGTTGGCTTTATATATTATACCTACAGTGAAATCCACACAGATATAAACTATATTTACATTATTAAAAACTCCTCAGTCAGTGTTATATTTTTCTATGGTTTTCTAATATTTACCATGCTTTTTGAAGCCCTTTCAGCAGTATCTTCATATTCACTTCCTCTCTAGATCTCCAAGAGACCCAAATTGGGGTAGAAAACAATGGGAATAAAAAATTGCCTTTCACAGTGGTTTAAAATTCACAATAATATTATAATTTAAAAGTTACAGAGATTATTGTTAATAAGTTAAACAACACTTTGGGCAGCATTGAATGTCAATGCCCAGAAATATTTAGAACATCAGAAGCTTGGCATCTTCAGGACACAATGGGAAAATCTTTAGAATAATTCCAGGTTCCTCCACTGAGTGGGTTTTCAAAGCAGTTTTCCCGATTTTCTTAACCTCTCCTAACTTCCTACACTGATATGAACTATGGGATTAAATAAGTAACTTGAATAAGTGTTAGGATAAGGTGAGCCTGGCTGGCTCAGTAAGTGGAGCTTGTGACTCTTGATCTTGGGGTCTTGAGTTCAAGCCCCATTTTGACGATGGAGACTACTTAAAAAAAAGATTAAAGCAGATTACAATTTAGAATACCACTTGTTTACACTAATTTTGTAAACATTAATTTCCTACCCTCTATATCATCTTTCCCAGAGGAAATACCTGTTCTGACTGATCCTTTTCGATCATCTTAAAAACCAACAACAATTCACATACACAATTCTCTTTACCTTAGGGGCAGGATTTCATTTTTATAATTATCATCATCATCACCATCACCATCACCATCACTGTCACCACCTGGAGTGATTGTTGAGTGTGTATCCATGGGGAAGCTTAAATAACCTGTACATAACTCCTGATGGGCCATTACATACATAAAAGGTCACTGTGTACATGACGTGTTTGTCAACCTTTTTTCATTATCACCCTCTCCAAGGATCCTTTTCAGACATTTTTGGCTGAATCATCTGCAACCCCACTCCCCAATGGAATATGACATTAAAAAATGCTTATTTACTTATTTTTGAGGGAGAAAGAGAAAGAGAGGTAGAGAAAGAGAGAGAAATAGAAAGGGGGCAAGGGGAAGAGAGAGAGAGAGAGAGAGAGAGAGAGAGAGAGAGAGAGAGAGAGAATCCCCAATCAGGCTCCACACTCTCAGTGCAGAGCCTGATGTGAGGCTCAAACCCATGAGCCATGAGATCATAATTTGAGCCAAAACCACGAGTCAGACACTTAACCAACTGAGGACCAAATGAGAAATATGACATTTTTAATATCACAAATGTATTTTATTTGTTTTTATACTGTGGTCCTTTGAAGGTTCACCAACCATTTTAATATCTATGAAAACTCTACCCCCAAGAATCAATCTTCAACCCTCTGGTGTAATGTCAACTTTGTTGAGAATGCATGATGTATTGTAATTAAGGAAAAAGCTGGAATGCCATTCTTGCTTCATCCATATCTGTGTCCATACTAGAAAATCCATTACAACTAGATGCCCAGCCTTGATGGACCATCCACGGAGATACCCCCAGTTTTTATGAAGCCCAGCGTTTATGAAGTTTATGAAAGTCCCTACTCCTGAAGAGACCTGTAGACCTCCAACCTAATCCCTTCTCTGTGTCCTCAGAGGCTTTTTCCTACCTACCAGGTACAAGCATCCAAATCATTTCCATAAATTTAATTTCCAAACGCAGGCTTCAGACAGCTTCTGCTTCCAGGCCCCTCCCCAACTCCCCCTGAGGCCGGGGCAGGGGGGGAACCAAGCCTGGCACCCTACAGCAGGGAGTGGAAACACCAGAAGAACAGAGATTAACCACCTCAATAGAACGTGTCCTGATACCTTTGCTAAAACTTGCCGTTAGTAACTAATGGTGCCCAGACTGTCATGTCCCATTCCTGGCTCTGGCAGTCGGCATGGGGAGCAACCTTTTTGTCATTTGTGTCTGTGCCCAGGAACATGTGCTTTGGAGTAACATACATCTATGAAGAGAGAATACTGATACCTCACTAGCAGGGCTATTGTGAGATTAAATCCCACCACTAAGATGAAGAACCTGACCTAGGCACATCAAAACAATCTGCTCCATAAATATTAGCTATTTTTCCTCTTTCAATTGGAGAATTGATGTGGTCCTGAACTTCCCTGTCACCCAGGGCCCCTTAACCAGATTGCAGCTCAGAATCACTTTGGGGATCCTTTTCTAAACCCTCCTCTGAATTTCCCTTCTTGGTAGAAATAAGACTTCCATTTCAAGGCCATTCAAATCATTAAGGCATGATAATATGGACCTCAGGAAATGAATATGTTCATTTAACACTTAATAGTGTATGCCAGTGTCCACTTCCCCTTCATTCCATCAGCGTCAGGTATTAACAGATTTTTTTCTTTATTGCCAATTCTGTTCTGCTCATTTTTCCCAAACTAGGCACATTGGAAAAGTCATCTCAGTCAGTTGTTAAACTTAGATTCATAGGCTCCTCTCCTAGGGTTGCTAGATCTAGCAACTACATGTACAGGATGCCCAGTTGAACTTGAATTTCAGACAAAGTCATATTGCATGTGAAATACTTACACTAATAATTATTTGTTAGTTATCTGTAATTCAAATTTAACTTGGTGTCCTGATTTTATCTGGCTACCCTACACAAGTAAAGCTCTGTGGAGGAGAACCAAGATGCATAGGTGAACAGCTACAGCTGAGTCCTCAGTAACAATGTACAGCAATGACCCACGTGAGTGACTGGATGTTCCAGGTGATTGGAGCCTCCAGATGACTGCAGCTCCAGGTGACAAATATCACATGGAGCAGAAAACTAGCTGAGCCCAGTCAGCGCACAGAATGCTGAGGGATTAAAAACTGGCTATTGGTGATGTTTGTTAAACAGAAATGGATATCCAAAACATGTGCTTTTGGTGAACTCTCTTTTTCTGTGGTCTGTAATCATTGGATAAGATAGGGATTTTGCTTATTCTTGAAGGTTTTGTAGGACTTAATTATAATTTTGGCTATGGTTAGTGTGAGTTTAAGTGTGGGTATTGATTTTGAACATTTCTTCAATTCCTTTTTGAAAAGATTTCCAACTAAAATTTTCATGATTTATGATTTTCATCCTACTCTTGGAATTTAGAAATTTATTCCAATCCCCTTCTGCAAGGAGAGAGTTCTATGAAATCATACTTGTCAAGGAAATGATAGGGTAAATGCTTCAAACTGCTCCCTGAGACACATGGAAAACCATATCCTCAGAAGGTGGCTTGGTAAATACATAATCAGAAAAGGACTATTTAGTCATCTTGAGAACTTTTCTCAAAGAAATTGTCCTGAAATACTTTTTCCTGCTACAGAGATAGCCTTGCAAGGAAGCCACTCTTCTTGAATACACATAGAATTTTTTCAAGAGACAGCAGATACATATGCATTGTAGTCCTTGATTTTTCTGACTGCCCCTGTGCAGCACTGATGGATAGAAATGTGTGTCCAATTCTGGGGTTCATTAATAGGAAACCTAATTCCCTTGTGGCAAATCTAAGCCACATTCTCCAATATTACCTGTATAAAAAATAAAGTAGATATACTTTTCCTTTATTCCTTTTTCATATTTTTAGGTGTTTTAAGAGCCCAGATGTGGAGAAGGGGTGTATTTTGGGTGTTCCTTAAAGGCCCATGCATTTTGGAACAAGACCATAAGAACACTTGGGGAGACAGCAAGACACAGAAAAGGGAAGAAGACCTGTAAGTCTATTTTTAGAATCATCCCGGAGGGCAGAGGAAAACGTGCTCCATAAGGGCAGCTTGCTACAGTTTTGAAGAGAGAGGGCTTGAGCCATGCAAGTCATTTGTCCTTCCAACCTCATTAATCAGGTAAGTGATTCTTTTGGGAGTGAGTGTATAAAGATGTTAAATGTGTTTGGTTGTAGATGTCCCTATACCTGTAAGAAAATATGGGAAATGGAAGATAAGAATTCCCCAGGAAAAAAAGCAATGTGTGGTTCAACTGTCTAGGTGTCTGCCTACTAACTGACTGTAACAGTATAGGCCTGAATCCCTGAAATTACTCTGAGATTTCTGAAATGACATTATTTGTGTATGTATCTAGATCAATCAGTGACTTTTTTTTTTTGTTCAGTCACATTGTTATAGACAATCTTTCAGTTTTCTGCCACAGATAGCTACTTGCTTAGCATGGCCTTGAATTTTATGTTTACCCTCCGAGGGCTAGTTTACCTTCCAGAATTCTAAGCTATCTCCCTGGGGCTCTGCATATTGATGATACTCTCCTAGTGTCTCTTCAAAGGAAGCAAAATTGTTGAAGACAGGGACATATTTTGTTCCTTCAACACGGGGAGAGTTCCATAAATTGCTCAATCCCAGTCTGGTGCCTCTAATTACTATGCTTTCTCACGTGATGGCCTGAAAAGTCAGGTGCTTTGCTTGCAACTCTGGGTGACCAGGTAGAGGAGTGTGAAGAGGCATTATGGGTGTGGAGGTCTGGCCCACGCTTCGTGGTTGCCATAGAAACCTGACGTCACGTGGCGACCGTGACGACTTTTTAATAGAGACAGAAGTGCCCTCCATAGCAGAGCAGGGGCCCGCCTTCAGGTGTTTGGGGGCGTTGTTGAGGGTGTGGGTCCCCGCGGTCGGGGCTGAACCGCCCTGGGATGGAAGGAGACAAAGGGATTCAGATCCAAGTTGCTTCGTTCTTGCCTTGGGAGTCAGCACGGCCGCTGTCTCGTAGGTAAAACCATTGGGAATCTCTCGCCCGGGCGCAGTTAGTGTGGGTCCTGCCCCAGGGGTGTCCTGGAGATGCTTTCCTTTAAAGACAGAGACGCGGGAGTTAAGACAGATAAGGACTCTGAGCCCGAGCCCTCTATAAAATGGGGATGAGAATGCTTCACCCACAGGATTGCTGAAAACAGCCAGTGATACAAATGAGTGAACTCATAGCCCTGTGTGCTCATGAATGTCTGTATGAATTCAGGTCACTTCTTCTCAACTTTGTTTTTGGAGGATAAATGAGAAAGGAGGAAAAAAAGGCTCCGTGAGAAGCCCATTAAAACATGTGGTTGTTACAATCACGACCCAGTTGTATCAGTGTCATTGCCACTAACCCAGTGTCTGGCATGGTGCTGAGCCCAATCATAGTGATTGCTGGATCTGTTTCTCCCTGTGCAGCTCTTCATGACGGTGGCCCAGCTCATATCAGGTGCGTGAAGAGGGCAGGTTCTGAGGATGTGTGTCCTGATGGCTGCTGAAGCTTCTACTCCAGGTTCAAGGTCAGCAGTTCTCAGGAGACCCCAACACTTCACACCCCTGGTGGAAATTGATGCCTGGCACAAGTGAGTTAATAGTTCTGAGCAAAAAGTATGATGTGGAAATAGCTCTTGTGAGATTCACAAAGTGGTCTAATGGGAGAAGAGTTTAGCAGGTGGAATTTCATTCCTTCAGCAGCTATATGATTTGTAGTAGCCCTTGAGGTCCATCTTAGAGAAACCCTTTTTTGCTGAAAAATAATTGTCTAGTTGGTGAAGGAAGTTTGTCTTTAACATGCATTTACAATAAATATACTTAAAATTTTCTCACCATATAAATAATAAATAGGCAATTCTCATGTACCTCATAGATGGGTGTGGAAATATGCAGTTGTTAGATCCTCATAGCAATTTGATATTGTAATATAGACTTCCCCCTGGTGATCAGAGTTTTCTTCCATTATATAATGACATTTTTAAATTTTAAATTAAATTAAATTAATTTCTATTTAATTTTATTTTATATTAAATATAATTTATTGTCAAATTGGTTTCCATACAACACCCAGCGCTCATCCCAACAGGTGCCTTCTTCAATGCCCATTACCCACTTTCCTCTCTACCCTACCCCCAATCAACCTTCAGTTTGTTCTCAGTGTTCAAGAGTCTCTTATGGTTTGCCTCCATGACATTTTTTTTTTAATTTTTTTTGTTTTTTTTTTCCAACGTTTATTTATTTTTGGGACAGAGAGAGACAGAGCATGAACGGGGGAGGGGCAGAGAGAGAGGGAGACACAGAATCGGAAACAGGCTCCAGGCTCTGAGCCATCAGCCCAAAGCCTGACGCGGGGCTCGAACTCACGGACCGCAAGATCGTGACCTGGCTGAAGTCGGACGCTTAACCGACTGCGCCACCCAGGCGCCCCAATGACATTTTTTTAAAGAGCCAGAAATTTTCCAAGTATTAGTTTAAAATGTCAGTAACTAGAATGTACTATTTATTTTATTATTTCATTTTGTTTTGTTTTGCTTTTTAAGTAGATTTCACACCCAGTGTGGGGCTCTAACTCATGACCTCGAGATCAAGTCACATGCTCCACCAACTGAGCCAGCCAGGTGCCCCTAGAACTTAATATTTTAAAAATCATTTGTTACCCTAGAGTTTGCCCTATTATAATGATACTCAGCCACACCATGTTCCCTAAAATAACCAGTTACTCATTGATATCATTATGACTATTTTCTCAATAGTTTTTCTGTACTTTGGAAGGAAATGGACATTAGCTTTCCCTAAATATTTGGATATATTTCATTGGAAATGATTATTTCTGTTTTGGTTCTATGTACCATGGATCAATTTGACAAGATGTATAGGGTGGATCTGTTAATACTATAAGAACATAATCGTGGGAATCTTTCATTTAATTAACTGCATCACAGAATTATGAATATATAAATACAAATATTTTATTCAGGTATGATTAATGTCAATATACTATACACATTTAGTTTTTGCTTTAATAATTTTTGATATGTATGCACTTGTGAATCCAATACTGCAGTCAAGATAATGAAAATAACCACCTCAAAAAACTTCTTCATATCCCTTTGTAGTGCTCCCATCTACCTCCCTCCAGTCTTTCTCTCCTTGTCACTCTTACCCCATTCTCAGCCAACCACTGATATTCTGTCACTATGGATTAGGGTTATTTCCTATAATTTTATGTGAATGGAACCATACAATGTGTATTCTGTTTTGCCAATCTTCTTTCCTTCAACCTAATTATTTGTAGATTTATCCATTTTTTACATGCGTTAATATTTCCTTCCTTTTATTGCCTAATATTCCATTTTATGGATATACCACAATTTGTTCTTTCTGTTCACTTGGTAATGGGTGTTTGGGTTGCTTTCAATCTTATAAATGAAGCTGCTATGGACATTTAGATATGTCTTTGCTTGGACATATGCTTTCTCTCTCTAATGCTGAAGTGTATTTATTAAGAGGATTTGTAAGAACGCCTAGGTGGCTCAGTCGGTTAAGCATCTGACTTCAGCTCAGGTCATGATCTCTCAGTTTGAGAGTTTGAGCCCCATGTCAGGCTCTGTGCTGACAGCTCAGAGCCCAGAGCCTGCTTCGGATTTTGTCTCCCTCTCTCTCTGCCCCTTCCCTGCACTCTCTCTCAAAAGAAAGAAATAAACATTAAAAAAATAATAAGAGGATTTGTAAAATTAACTTTGTAAGAAAGTGTTAAACTGTTTTGCAACATGGTTGTGCAATGTTTCATTGTCACCAGTAGCATATGAGAGTTCCATCCTCCACAACTCTGTCAGGACTTGGTATGGTCAGTGTTTTTATTTTAGGCATTCTCAGAGGCATATAGTGGGATTACATTTTCCTAATGACTAATGATGTTCAGCATCTTTTCATTTGCTTACTTGACATTTGTATTCCTTCTTTGGTGGAGCATCTTTTCAAATCTTTTGCCCACTTATTTATTTGGTGTTGGTTTTCTTTGTATTGACTTTGCAAGGTTTTTTATTCTGGATACAAGTTCTTTATCAGACATAAGATTTGCAAATATTTTTTTGCAGTCAGAAGCTTGCCTTTTAATTCTTCCAGCAGTGTCTTTGAAAGAACAGAAGTTTTTAATTTTGAGGACATCTAAGTTTTAATTTGTTCATTTTTGGTTTTTATATTGCTTTTGGTGTCATATCTAGGAAATTTTCACCTCACTTAAGGCCACAAGATTTTTTCTTGTGTTTTCTTCTAGAATTTGTATAGTTTTAGCCCTTATACTTTTGTTAGTGATTCATTTTGAGTTGACTTTTGCATATGGTACAATATATGGATCACAGTTTATGTTTGTGTATATGTATACACACTTGTCTTGGAAGCATTAGTTGAGAAGGCTATCCTTTCTTCACTGAATTGACTTTGTAGGTTTGTCAAAAACCAGTTATCTATATATGTGTGGGTATTTGTAGACTCTTCATTTTGTTCCTTTGATATACATTTCTACATATGTCCCAATAGCACATTGTATTGATTACTGTAGATTCATAATGAGTCTTAAAATAATGTAATGCTTATTTTCCAACTGTCTTCTTCTTTTTCAAAGTTGTTTTCATAGTCTAGGCGCTTTGTATTTCCACATGACTTTTAGAAAAAGCCTGTTAATTTCTTCTCAAAAAAAATGTATGCTAGGATTTTTTGGAATTGCATTTCATCTATGATCACCGTGGGGTGAACAGACATCTTAATGATATTGAGGGTTTTTTATAAAGGTTTATTTATTTATTTTGAGAGACATGGTAGGGGCAGAGAGAGAGAGGGAGAGAGAGAATCCCAAGCAGACTCTGTGCTGTCAACGCAGAGCCTGAAGTGGTACTCAATCTCACAAATGACCTGAGCTGAAATCAAGAGTCAGATGCTTAACTGACTGAGCCACCCAAGGCGCCTCATGATACTGAGTCTTCTGACCCCTGAAGATGATATGTCCCTCCTTTATTTAGGCCTTGTCTAATTTGTCTCAGCAATGTTTTGCACTGTTCAGAGTATAGTCCTTGCACAGCAGTGGACATAATTGTCTTATATAGATTACCTCTGTGTAGTTCATACTTTCTGATGCTGCTGTCAGCGGCAGTATTTTTTTTACCCAGTTTTGCCTATCCCCTCATCCCTCTCCCCTCTGGCAACCACCATTTTTTTCTGTGTATTTATGAGTCTGTTTCTGCTTTTTTGTTTGTTCATTTGTTTTATTTTTCATATTCCACATATAGGTGAAATCATATCGTATTTGTATTTCTCTGACTTATTTCACTTAGCTTAATACTCTGTACGTTCATCCATGTTGTGACAAATAGCAAGATCTTATTCTTTTTTATGGTTGAGTAATATTACTGTGTGTGTGTGGGTGTGTGGGCGTGTGAGTGTATAGCACATTTCTTTATCCATTCACCTATCATGGACACTTAGGTTACTTTCATATCTTGGCTATTGTAAATAATGCTGCAGTAAATGTAGGGTTATTTACATCTCTTTAAACTAGTGTTTTCTTTTGGGGGGTGTAAATATCCAGTAGTGAAATTACTGAGTTGTATGGCAGTTCCATTTTTATTTTTTTGAAGAATGTCCATACTTTTTTCCACAGTTGCTGTACCAATTTACGTTCCCACCAACAGTTCACAAAGGTTCCCTTTTCTTCATATCCTTGACAGCACTTGTTATTTCTTGTCTTTTTAATATTAGGCATTCTGATGGATGTGAGGTGATATCGCATTGTGGTTTTGATTTGCATTTTCCTGATGATTAATGATGTTGAGTATCTTTTCATGTGTCTGTTGGCCATCTCTATGCCTTCTTTGGAAAAATGTCTTTTCAGGTCCTCTGCCCATTTTTTAAATCAAATTATTTGTGGGTTTTTCTTTTTTGCTGTTGAATTGTATATGTTCTTTATATATTTTGGATATTAACCCTTTACCAGATATATTATTCACAAATATATTCTTCCATTCAGTAGGTTCCCTCAATGGTAGTATTTTTATTACATTTCCCAGGTATTACATTTTCACTGCACTGTCAGTAGCCAATTATTGCCAGGAATCTTTTTGGTTGAAAGCACATGTTACTCTAAGTCAGAAAAGATACTTGATGCTTAACACCTGTATTAGTCAGACTTCTCCAGAAGAACAGAATGATAGCATGTTTATATATAGATAGAGATTTATTTTAAGTAACTGACTCATGAGATTGTGGAGGGTTGGCAGGTCCAAAATCTGATAAGGAAGGCTGGCAGGCTGGAGACTGAGGAGTGAGTTACAGTTGGAGTCTGAAGGCTGTCTGCTAGAGAACCACAAGGTGCTGATGTTGAGGATGAATTCCAAAGGCAGTCTCCTGGCAGAATCCCTTCTGGCTCAGGGGAAATCAGCCATTTAGGCTGTTCAGGCCTTCAAGTGATTGGATGAGGACCACTCACCTTATGGCAGACTGCTTGACTCAAAGATGACCCGTTTAAATGTGTATCTTCTTCAAAAGTAGTCTCACAGAAACATCCAGAATGTTTGATCAAATATTTGGACATTGTGGCCCTGCCAAGTTGACACATAAAATTTATCCTCACAATATTCATTTGCCTAGATTTCTATATTAGTTTTTAGATATTATTGGCAAAGTACTTAAACATAGGGAGAAAAATGTTCCAGAGAAAATTCTATAGGTCACCTCGAGAAAAATCAGTCACTAAAATGAAATAGATTAGTAGTGTTCAACCTTATATGTGTGGTTAAAATTGAATTGTGGAGTTTTCCTTCTTTATCCCCAAATAAATCCACCTTGATGAATTTCTGGGTTCTTGGGTGATAAGGAGGAGAGATTATGTATAACTGTGTGTGTGTGTGTGTGTGTGTGTGTGTGTGTGTGTGTGTATTGTTGAAGCTGTGAGGAATATGTATTAAGAGGAATATGTGTGGTGAGTTACTGTGAGTTATGTCAGTTCTCCTCAGTTGCTAGCATGTAAGGAGACAAGTCAGGATGGTTGCTGTGTTTTGTTTTTTTTTTTGAGCTTTTCTTGGCCAGCATGGTTACCATTGTGGCTCTGTGACTCCTGTGGGACTTGGTACAGCCTGAAAATGCATTTATGATTCTTATCTGAATCACCCATTACTATGATAGTTGTTAAGTGTTGCTTTTATAATTCTGTCATTCCTTCTAGATATATTAATTGACATTCAAATGTTGGGTAGAGCTTCCCATTGTCCCCTTTTATTCATTCATTCATTCATTCATTCATTCATTCACTCATCCATTTATTTAACTATTATGCCTCATAGATTCTTATTTTGCTGAAAGGGTTACCATCTAGCATTATAATTATTTGTTTTGTTGGTCACATTGTCACAGAATTGGCCAGTTTTTTCCCCTTCAAGTTAGCTTCTGTGTCCACTTGTTTCCTCCATAGAATTCTTTGAGCATGGATTTTGTTCTTTGAGCCTGAGTATCTCCCAATCTGTAGAAAGGAAGTAATAATGTCCATCTCAGATCATCAGTTTAAGGATTTAAAGAAAAAAATCTGAAAATAACTTGAAAACAACAACCTATAGCATGGGGCATGTAGGAGGACCTCAAAATATTAGTTCCTCATTCTAATTTTGCCTCCTTCATTCTGTCAACGTGATGCCCTGACATGAACATTATAGCATGACTACCAGAGAGAATACTTGGACATGAAACAGCAAGCAGGGATGAACCCACATTTCCATGATGTGAAGACTTCAGTGTCACTGATGTGTGCAGGGAGGGGGCTGTGGGATGGAGCTGCGGAAGAGGCACAGCATCACTGCATAGCTTCCAGTGACCCGAGTGGGGACAGGCGAGAACATGCTCATCCCTTTCCTCTGTGTTTCATATGCTTTCCCTTCCTCTAGCTTTCCTTTCTACCCCATGTGCTGTCAGGTGTTGTCAGCCTGATCCATCTTTTATTAAATTTTCAATCCACCTGTAAACTCAGGTTTTTTGTAGCTTAAAGATAATTGCTTAGATTTAAATTAATTTAACAGATATAAGGAGTGATGTTTTAATTCTATAATTTCTTCTGCGTTTATTAGTTAGGATTCTATAAAACAAAATTCCTTTTGTCAACTACATGGTTACACTGTGGTATGGTCCACACAGAAGGGAAGGATGAATGCTTACTTCTTTTGCACTGTGTCCACTTTTAATTTTTAAAAAAATTTTTAAAATGTTTATTTATTGATTTTGAGAGAGAGAAAGCGAGTGAGCAGGGGAGGGGCAGAGAGAGAGAGGAAGAGAGAGAATTCCAGGCAGGTTCTTTGCTGTCAGCACAGTGCTCATTCTCACGAACCATGAGATCATGACCTGAGTAGAAACCAAGAGTCGACACTTAACTGATTGAGCCACCCAGGCACCCCCTATGTCCACTTTTTAAAATAATGGGTTGTTTTCCTTGGATCCTCCAAAGGTGAACAATGAGTTTGTTTCGTGTGTTGTTTCTTTTTCTTTAAGAATGTCATCATGAACTCTAGATGTTTATATACTTGAGGTTTTAGTCTTTAGTCATTAATGTTTTTGATGTTCAATTGTTCTATCTTAGGCCTGTGGGAGCCTCTTTGGGTTGGCTTTTGTGTGTATGATATGCTTTCTGATATGAGCTGTTTGGTCCAGGGTCATCTGGAATCAGTTATTTCTTCAAGGAAACCTGGTTCTTTTAGGGGAAAATATTTTAGAGGATTAGGTCTGGGAACTAGAGATGCTCATTGCTACTGGGTTGGTCACTATTGATTGTCCTTTTTATTACATGGAGCCTGTAAATATGTATTATATTTTTATGGCAATATACATCATCTCCTTCCATCCTGGGCTTATAGGTTCCTCTGTCACCTTATAGGTAATCATTTTTATCAGTTGGGTTTGTTTTTTTTAAAATTTATGTCAAGTTAGCTTATAGTGCAACAATGATTTCAGGAGTATATTCCTTAATGTCCCTTACCCATTTAGCTCATCCCCCCTCCCACAACCCCTCCAGTAACTCTCTGTTTGTTCTCCATATTTAAAAGTCTCTTTTGTTTTGTACCTCTCCTTGTTTTTATATCATTTTTGCTTCCCTTCCCTTACATTCATCTGTTTTTTATCTTAAAGTCCTCATATGAGTGAAGTCATATGATATTTGTCTTTCTCTGACTAGTGACTAATTTCACTTAGCATAATACCCTCTAGTTCCATTCACGTAGTTGCAAATGGCAAGATTTCATTCTTTTTGATTGTCGAGTAATACTCCATTGTATATATAAATCACATCTTCTTTATCAGTTGGGTTTTAGCATTCCAGTTTTAAAAGATATAATTTGAAATATACATATATTAGTTTTCTCCCCTGTTCATTTTTTTAAAAAATTTTTTAACGTTTATTTATTTTTGAGACAGAGAGAGACATAGCATGAGCAGAAGAAGAGCAGAGAGAGAGGGAGACACAGAATCTAAAACAGGCTCCAGGCTCTGAGCTGTCAGCACAGAGCCTGACGCGGGGCTCGAACTCACGGACCGCGAGATTGTGACCTGAGTGGAAGTCGGATGCTTAACTGACTGAGCCACCCAGGCGCCCCTCTCCCCTGTTCATTTGTAAAAGATGCCATATTGTACACCAGTGTTGTGCAATAAAAATTTCTGCAGAAATGAAAATATTCTGTATCTGTGCTATCCAACTTGGTAGCCACTAGCTGCATGTGGGTGTACAGTGTCTAAAATGTGGTTATTGCAACTAAGGAACTGATTTTTTTAATTACACTGATTGTAACTAATTTAAATTTAAATAGACCTGTGTGGCTATGAATACTGTATTGGACAGAAACAGCTCTAAACATTTTTCTGCGCCTTGCCTTTTTCACCAAACAATATATCCATAGCAGTACAGAGAGGGAGTCCTCATTGCTTTTCTTTCTTTTTTCTTTTTTCTTTTCTCATTGCTTTTCTAGCTGCATAGTATGCCAGGATATCGATGTGCCATAGCTTAGTCATACAACTCACTATTGGTGGACAGCTGTTTGTTTCCAGTTTTCTGCTGTTATGAATTTTTCTTTAAGGAATAAACTTGTACATATGCCTTTTCATTTTTTGTATTATTTCTTTAGGATAGATTCTTAAAAGAGAGATTAGTGGTTCTAAGAGGAAATACATATGTAATTTTACTAGAGAGCTCAAATTCCATCCACAGGGTTTGTACCATTTTATATTACCTTTAGTGATGCATGGGAATGCTGATTTCCTCACAGACTATCTAATTGGTGAGAAGAGGTAGGTTTTCCCCCCTTTTGAATGTCTTATCTTGAGTTAGGTTGGGCAATTTTAGATGTTTAGGGAATTTTTGGTGAAATACTTGTTTGTGTGTATTGCTCCTTTGTTCTTTCCCGGTGTGTGTGTGTGTGTGTGTGTGTGTGTGTGTGTGTATGGATATTTCTCTCTCCATTTTTTCATGACTATCTATATATTTTTAACATAACCATTTGTGATGTAAGTTGTAAATATTTTTCCCAATTTTATTTTGATGAGGCCCCAACAGTTCATTTCTGCTTTTGTTTCCCTTGCCTCTGGAGACATGTTGAGTAAGAAGTTGCTGCAGCCGAGGTCAAAGAAGTTTTTGCCTGCTTTCTCCTCTAGGATTTTGATGGCTCCCTGTCTTACGTTTACATCTTTCATCCCTTTGAGTTTATTTTTGTGTATGGTGTAAGAAAGTGGTCCAGGTTCATATTTCTGCATGTCACTGTCCAGTTTTCCCAACACCACTTGCTGAAGAGACTTTTTTTTCCATTGGATATTCTTTCCTGCTTTGTCAAAGATTAGTTGGTCATATGTTTGTGGGTCCATTTCTGGGTTCTCTATTCTGTTCCATTGATCTAAGTGTCTGTTTTGTGCCAGTACCATACTGTCTTGATAATTACAACTTTGTAATTAATACATCTTGAAGTCTGGGATTGTGATGCCTCCAGCTTTGGTTTTCTTTTTCAGGATTGCTTTGGGTATTCGAGGTGTTTTCTGGTTCCATACAAATTTTAGGATTGCTTGTTCTAGCTCTGTGAAGAATGCTGGTGTTATTTTGATAGGGATTGCATTGAATATGTAGATTGCTTTGGGTAGTATCGACATTTTAACAATATTTTTTCTTCCAATCCATGAACATGGATTTTGCTGTAGTTTTTCCATTGCTTCAATTTCTTTCATAAGCTATCTATAGTTTTGAGTGTATAGATTTTTCACCTCTTTGGTTAGATTTATTCCTAGGTATGTTATGGTTTTTGGTGCAATTGTAAATGGGATCAATTCCTTGATTTCTCTTTCTGTTGCTTCTTATTGGTGTATAGAAATGCAACCAATTTCTGTGCATTGATTTTATATCCTGTGACTTTGCTGAATTCATGGATCAGTTCTTGCAGTTTTTTGGTGGAATCTTTTGGGATTTCCACATAGAGTATCATGTCGTGTGCGAGGAATGAAATTTTGACTTCCTCCTTGCCGATTTGGATGCGTTTTATTCCTTTGTGTTGTCTGATTGCTGAGGCTAGGACTTCCAATACTATGTTGAATAACAGTGGTGAGAGCGGATATCTCTGCTGTGTTCCCAACCTTAGGGGGGAAGCTCTCAGTTTTTCCCTATTGAGGATGATATTAGCTGTGGGTCCTTCATATATGGCTTTTATGATCTTGAGGTATGATCATTTTATCCCTACTTTCTTGAGGTTTTTTATCAAACAGGATCCTGTATTTTGTCAAATGCTTTCTCTGCATCTATTGAGAGGATCATGTAGTTCTTGTCTTTCTTTTATTGATATGATGTATCACATTTATTATTTTGGGGATATTGAATCAGTTCTGCATCCCAGGTATAAATCCCACTTGGTCGTGGTGAATAATTCTTTTAATGTATTGTTGGATCAGGTTGGCTAGTATCTTGTTGAGAATTTTTGTATCCATGTTCATCAGAGAAATTGGTCTGTAGTTCTCCTTTTTAGTGGGGTCTTTGTCTGTTTTGGAATCAAATCAAGGTAATGCTGGCTTCATAGAAAGAGTTTGGAAGTTTTCTTTCCATTTCTGTTTTTTGGAACAGCTTCAATTTTGTTTATTTTTTCAAAAAACCAACTCTTGGTTTCGTTGATCTGCTCTACAGTTTTTTTAGATTCTATATTGTTTATTTCTGCTCTGATCTTTATTATTTCTCTTCTTCTGCTGGGTTTAGGCTGCCTTTGCTGTTCTGCTTCTACTTCCTTTAGGTGTGCTGTTAGATTTTGTACTTGGGATTTTTCTTGTTTCTTGAGATAGGCCTGGATTGCAATGTATTTTCCTCTCAGGACTGCCTTCGCTGCGTCCCAAAGCGTTTGGATTGTTGTATTTTCATTTTCGTTTGTTTCCATATATTTTTAAATTTCTTCTCGAATTGCCTGGTTGACCCACTCATTCGTTAGTAGGGTGTTCTTTAACCTCCATGCTTTTGGAGGTTTTCCAGACTTTTTTCTCTGGTTGATTTCAAGCTTCACAGCATTGTGGTCTGAAAGTATTCATGGTATGATTTCAATTCTTGTAAACTTATGAAGGGCTGTTTTGTGACCCAGTATATGATCTATCTTGGAGAATGTTCCATGTGCACTCGAGAAGAAAGTATATTCTGTTGCTTTGGGATGCAGAGTTCTAAATATATCTGTCAAGTCCATCTGATCCAATGTCTCATTCAGGGCCCTTGTTTCTTTATTGACCGTGTGTCTAGATGATCTATCCATTTCTGTAAGTGGGGTGTTAAAGTCCCCTGCAATGACCACATTCTTATCAATAAGGTTGCTTGTGTTTATGAGTAATTGTTTTATATATTTGGGCGCTCCGGTATTCGGCGCATAGACATTTATAATTGTTAGCTCTTCCTGATGGATAGACCCTGTCACTATTATATAATGTCCTTCTTCATCTCTTGTTACAGCCTTTCATTTAAAGTCTAGTTTGTCTGATATAAGTATGGCTACTCCAGCTTTCTTTTGGCTTCCAGTAGCATGATCAATAGTTCTCCATCCCCTCACTCTCAATCTAAAGGTGTCCTCAGGTCTAAAATGAGTCTCTTGTAGACAGCAAATAGATGGGTCTTGTTTTTTTATCCATTCTGATACCCTCTGTCTTTTGGTTGGCGCATTTAATCCATTTACATTCAGTGTTATTATAGAAAGATATGGGTTTAGAGTCATTGTGATGTCTGTATGTTTTATGCTTGTAGTGATGTCTCTGATACTTTGTCTCACAGGGTCCCCCTTAGGATCTCTTGTAGGGCTGGTTTAGTGGTGACAAATTCCTTCAGTTTTTGTTTGTTTGGGAAGACCTTTATCTCTCCTTCTATTCTAAATGACAGGCTTGCTGGATAAAGGATTCTCGGCTGCATATTTTTTTCTGTCTAGCACACTGAAAATCTCGTGCCAACTCTTTCTGGCCTGCCAAGTTTCAAAAGAGAGATCAGTCACGAGTCTTATAGGTCTCCCTTTATATGTGAGGGCACGTTTACCCCTTGCTGCTTTCAGAATTTTCTCTGGAACAGCTTCAAAAGAATAGGTGTTGATTCTTCTTTAAATGTTTGGTGGAATTCCCTTGGAAAGGCATCTGGCCCTGGACTCTTGTTTTTTTGGGAGATTTTTGATTACTAATTTGATTTCTTTACTGGTTATGGGTCTGTTTAAATTTTTTATTTCTTCTTGTTTCAGTTTTGGTAGTTTATATGTTTCTAGGAATTTGTCCATTTCTTCCAGATTGCCCAATTTACTAGCATATAATTGCTCATAATATTCTTTTATTATTGTTTGTATTACTGCAGTGTTGGTTGCGATCTCTCTGCTTTAATTCTTGATTTTTTCTTTGGGTCCTTTCCTTTTTCTTTTTGATCAGTATGGCTAGGGGTTTATCAATTTTGTTTTCTTTCAAAGAACCAGCTCCTGGTTTCATTGATCTGTTCTACTGAGTTTTTTTTTTTTTTAATTTCAATAGCATTGATTTCTGCTCTAATCTTTATTATTTCCCATATTCTGCTGTTTTGGGATTTTATTTGGTGTTCTTTTTCAAGCTCCTTAAGGCACAATGTTAGCTTGTGTATCTGAGACCTTTCTTCCTTCTTTAGGAAGGCCTGGATTGCTATATACTTCCCTCTTATGACCGCCTTTGCTGCATCCCAGAGGTTTTGGGCTGTGGTGTTATCATTTTCATTGGCTTCCATGTACTCTCTAATTTCCTCTTTAACTTCTTGGTAAGCCCATTCATTCTTTAGTAGGATGTTCTTTAGTCCCCATGTATTTGTTGTGTTTCTAAATAAAAAAAAAAATAACGCTTATTTATTATCAAGAGACAGAGAGAGACAGAGCATGAGCATGGGAGGGTCAGAGAGACAGGGAGACACAGAATCCAAAGCAGGATCCAGGCTCTGAGCTGTCAGCACAGAGCCCGATGCGGGGCTT